AATATAAAATAATCTAATATTAAGGAAGGATAGAAATTACTTTTAGAAAACAAGCCTAGTATAGCACTGCCTAATAGAACAATCTGTGATGCTGGAAATGCTCTACATTTGTTCTGTCCCATATGGCAGCCACCAGCAACATGTGGCTATTGCACACTTGAAATGTGGCTAGTGCAACAGAGGAACTGAGTTTTAAATTTTATTAAATTTAAATTTAAAAATAGCTACTTGTGACTAGTAGCTAACTCTCATAGCTTGTGACAACAGGAATTTGTAAAAGATTAATTTTAAATGTGTCTAGCTGTAACTTTAGTATATAGCTCATATAATGAAATATTATCACCACTGAAATTCACAGTGATACAAGAAAACTGTAAAACTTCCAGAGGCTTCTCACGTTTTGGATGATATAGCAGGATGAATATCATGTCTTATTTTTATTTTTTATTCCCTTGCCCACAAAGAATAACAATACTTTATTTTTCCTCCATACTGTGATTAAATTTAACGTAGTAATTTTCCCCCTTTCAGTTATGTTTATTGAAGTATAGTTTACAAACAGTAAACAATTACCTTTTTAAGTAGACATTTTGATGAATTTGACAGATGTATGCTATCATGAACCACTGTCACAATCAAAATATAGAGCATCCTCTACCACAGAAAGCTCCTCCCCTGTGGCTCTTTGCAGTCCATCTCATTCCCTTATCTCTGGTTCCCATAACCAGTGATGTGATTTCTGTGTCTGTAGTATTACCTTGTACAGAATGTCAAATATTTGAAATGCTACAGCATGTACTCTTATGTACCCTTTTTTGTCTGGCTTATTTCACTTAATGTAATGCTTTTGAAGTTCATCCATGTAGTTTTTCCTCTTTATGTGTACCATAATCTGTTCATCCATTTATCAGTTGATTTACATTTAGATTATTTCCAGTTTTGCACTGTCCTGAATAAAGGCTGCTAAAACACTTATATTTTTAATATGAATATCCCAGTTTTGTAGATAGACATTTTCATTTCTCTTGGGCAAATATTTAGGTCTGGGATTTCTGAGTCATATGATAAGTGTATGGAATACAGATTAGCAGTGTCTTACAAAGTGTATATACTATTTTTGCATTCCCCCCAATGATATATGAGATTTTTGAGTTGTTGCCAATCCTCACTAGCTCTTTATATTGTCAGACTGCTTTGATTTTAGCCATTCTGGTCAGTGTGTAGTTGGTAACACATTTGAGTTTTAATTTGCATTTTCCTAATGATTAATGATGTTAACATCTGTTCATGTGTTCATTTGCCATCTTTTAGGTTCTTTGATGAAATGTCTATACAAATCTTTTCTCCATTTCTTTTTATAGTTTGTACTTTTTAAGTTAATGTTTGTATATGATCCAGGGTGAGGTTCATTTCTCCCCATATAGTTGTTTCAATATTTGTTAAAAAGACTTCTTTTCCTCCATTTAATTAGTGTTAGTCCAATATAGAAAAAAATAATACATAGTGACCAAATAGAGCTTATTCCAGGAATAGTAGGTTGATACAACATTCTAAAATCAGTCACAGAAATGATAAATGAAATCAGTCAGTATAATTCCCCTTCTCAACAAACTAAAAAAGAAAAAGATCATATGATCCATCTTAACTAATAGATGCAGGAAAGGCATTTGGTCAGATTCAGTATCCATTCATTATAAAAATCTCAGCAAAATAGAAAGAAAGGGGAATTGTTTCTGTGTAATAAAGGCTATTTATAAAAAGCCTGTAACTAATATAATAGTTAGTGAAAAACTTGAATGCTTTACCTCTAATGGAAACAAGACAAGGATATCTGATGTTAATACCTCTCTTCAGCATTACCCACAAGATTGTAGCTAGCACAATAAGACAAGACAAGAGAAGAATTCAGATTAGAAATTAGTAAATAACTATTTTTTCTTACTTGAAAATGATTTCATTGTCTATGTAGAAAAAAATCCTAAAGAATCAATAAAGATCAGTGAGAACTAATACGTGAATTTAGCAAAGTTGCAAAGTACATGATGGATTTATAAAAATAAATTGTACTTCTCTAGCAGTAAACAATTGGAAATTGAAATTTAAAAAATAAGAATTTACTGTGACATCCAAAAATATGAAATACTTCAGATATATTGCACAAATATGTGTAAAATTTGTATGCTGAATAATACAAAATATTGCTGAAATTAAAATAAGACCTGAATAGCCCTGGCCTGTGTGCCCCGGTTGAGTATCAGCCCATGCACTGAAAGTTGTTGGTTTGATTCCTGGTCAGGGCACATGCCCAGTTTCAGGCTCACTCCTCCACAGGGGGCGTGTGGGAGGCAGCCAGTCAGTGTTTCACATTGCTGTTTCTCCCGCACATCGATGTTTCTCTTCTCTTTTCCCTCTCCTTTCCTCTCTTTCTACAAATCAGTAAGATAAAATAAGGCCTGAATAATAATATATAGATGTACTCATTGTCATTGGGGAGATGTCAGTTCTCTCCAAAGTGATCGGTAGATTAAATTTAATCAAGATTGTAGTAAAATCTTTAAAAGTATCTTTACATGAAAGGATTGGCTTAGATTGAGTTTATAATGGCAAAGGTGAAAGACAAAGCTTCTTTTTATTTTAGAATAAAATTGACAATCTGATTCTAAAATTTCAGGAAATTATCCTACCTCTGAACATGCAAATCACATTTTGTTTTAACTAACGAGACCTAATATTTATTGAGTATGATGTTAGATTATTTTAAAGCATTTTTATATATGTTAACTCATTTAATCTTTAAAATCGTGTTATGAGGGACTATTATTCATATTGACAAGATGATGAAACTGAGGCAGAGAGATTGAATGACTTGACTAAGGCTTGAATTCTAACCTAGGCTGGCTTTACACGTTGGCTTTACTACTACCTCAGGTTGCCTCACCCGTTTCAGTTTCTTTTCAAATTGCTAAACACTGAACTTTGTGTAGCATAAAGCTGATATTGTGAACTATACTATTTCTTCATTTAAATGGAAGCTTATATAGACAAAATCCAAAGTCAGATACTGTTCCTATTGCCGTTTGTATGGTGGGTGCTGGAGGGATGTTTGGTGAAGGCATACAGAATGGTTAGTGATCACATTAGAACTCCATTTGCATGTTTATTTTCTGACAGTTATTTGCTGTCCTTAAAAAGATACTATTTGTTAAATGTACCTTTTTATAAGAAAGAGTTGACTAAGATTGGATCTATAGTAGGAAAGTCATACTTTTTATAATTTTCATATGATATTAGCACAAATGATGTGACAACCATATTTTACAAACTAAAACCTAGGGATTTTATGACCTTTTTGCTATGAGGCAGCCAATGAGTTATATAGATTTAAAAATTTGGAATTTCCAGGCCATAAAATGACTTTTTAGTCTGACATCAGAATTACATCTGCAGCTTTTTTTTTTTTAATATATATATTTTATTGATTTTACACAGAGAAGAATTGAGAGGGATAGAGAGTTAGAAACGTCGATGAGAGAGAAACATCGATCAGCTACCTCTTGCACACCCCCTACTGGGGATGTGCCCGCAACCAAGGTACATGCCCTTGACCGGAATTAAACATGGGACCTTTCAGTCCGCAGGCCGATGCTCTATCCACTGAGCCAAACTGGTTTCAGCACGTCTGCAGCTTTTAAAAAAACTCTCAGTTGGTGTCTCTCTCCTCCATTTTGATTCAGTGGGAAATTATAAGTTACAAAGCTCTACAGGTAGTTCTAATGTACATCTTAGCTGAGATCCAGTGATTTATAGAGATAGTTGGATGAAATATCTAAGATTTGGACCATCTTTAAAAAAAAAAATCCAGCTTTTGTGATCTCCGTGTTTAATAAAGGCAGGATTCTTAATTCCCATAAATAGTTTTCAGCACATAGATATCTACTCTGAAGTTATTCTTCTTTATCTGAGTACTTTTCCTCTCCCCATTTTCTTTACTATATGTTAACTATTTGGACACACTTAGTTGTACCACAGCTCTGAAATTCTGTGATTGGCTCTGTACACAGCCACTCCATGTGGGCCACCCCCTTCTACACAAAGACTTTAAAATTATTGTGAAATAGTTCTAAATGTTACATTGAGGCATTTCTAGTCTCACTTCTATGTTAAAGTTTAATTGAAGTTCTAAGTTGTGGCTTTTAGCAGTAACATATGCCTCAGGTTTCCAAATGAGAAGTATTAAAGACCTTGTTATATTAGACTTAAAACAGAATAGCCATTAAAAGCAAAAGTACTGCCCTGACAGGTGTTGTTCAGTAGTTAGAGCATTGATCCTCGGAATGATGTTTATAAAGAATATTGTGTTATCTGAGCTTTGGGAAAACTTTTAAATGTTAATTTTGTAGTAGCTGTTACTTGATTTTAAAATAATATTGATCATAATTTAAAAGAAAAAAAGATATAAAATAAAAAGGGCCTGCCACCGGTTGAATATATCGACCTTCTATAGAATTTCCTTTATGTTCTAACTGCAATGCAGTTTTTGCTCTGTAGATGAGAAATAGGAAACTTACAGGAAATGTAGTCAGTCTATAGATACACAATTGTTTTCCTCCCTTTGTTCATTGTAGAAATTATAAACCATATATTTTTTATATTTTCATTCAGTTGCTTGGAAATTAATTGAACAGATTAGTTTCTTTTAAAAAAAAATATGTTTTTTATTCAGAGAGAGAGAGAGAGGTCAGTATGAAAGAGAAACATCAATTGGTTGCCTCCTGCATACACTCCAGGTGGGATCAAACTGGAGCCCTGGATGTGTGTGCCCTGACCAGGAGCCCAACCTTTCAGCGCAAGGGACAGCGCTCAATCAACTGAGCCACAACGGCCAGGGCTAGTTTCTTTTCTTTTTAAGTTTCCTCATTTTAAATTCTTTTTTTTATATTGCATTAGTGATGTATCTTTCATAAACTTGTTGTGTTTGTTTTCTCTTCAATGAATGCCAGTTAAAGAGAAATTGACTGCGGATCCAGACAGTGAAATAGCTACAACCAGCCTAAGGGTTTCTCTACTATGTCCAGTAAGTGTTAACTAATATTTGTTTTACATAAAACTTAACATACATATTCTCTTTTATTACGTATCTTCAGTATTTGAGAAATTTTCTTTACTTTTTAAATATGCCTACCTTTGTTACAGTTTATGAAGATGGAAAGACAAAATTACTACATGGGATTTGGAATCTAACCAAATTTATAGGTCTATAAAATTTTTCTACTCTTAGTAAAACATTTAGATAACGCTTGTGATTAATAATTGTCTCATCAACAAATGACAATTGCTGGCATAAATGTGGAGAAAAAGGAACCCTCCTGCACTGCTGGTGGGAATGCAGACTGGTGCAGCCACTGTGGAGAACAGTATAGAGTTTCCTCAGAAAGTTAAAAATGGACCTCCCATTTGACCCAGTTATCCCACTTCTAGGACTATATCCCAAGAAACCAGAAACACCAATTGAAAAGGATATATGCACCCCTATGTTCATAGCACAATTTATAATAGCTAAGATTTGGAAACAGCCTAAGTGCCCATCAACAGATGATGAGTAGATTAAAAAATTGTGGTACATCTACACAATGGAATACTAGGCCACTATAAAAAAGAAGGAACTTTTACCATTTGCAACAGCATAGATGGAACTGGAGAGCATTTTGCTAAGTGAAATGAGCCAGTCAGAGAAAGATAAAGACCACATGATTTCACTCATATGTGGGATACAATGATCAACATAATTTGATGAACAAAAATAGATCCAGAGACAAATGGCAGAGGAGGTGGGTGGAGGGGGGATAGAGAGCAACCAAAGGACTTATATGAATGCGTATTAACATAGTCAATGGGCACAGACTGGGGTGGTGGGGGCTTGCCTGGAGTGGGAATGGCTTGGGGGGAGGGTCAAGCGGGAGAAAAGGAGACATGTAAAACTTTAGATAATAAATAAATACGTAATAAAAAAACAAAGATATATTTGAAAAAGGAAGAGAATGTCTTAAATATTTCATAGGATTTAACATGTGTAAAGCACATAGTTCTTTATTATTATTTGTATTACCATGATGATAAATAAACATGGCCAGATGGTCAGCTTTAAAACTTAAAAAAAAAAAAAATTTGTCTCTTAGACTCAAGGGTAAAATCTCTAAATAAAGAATGTTTATCTCAGTGCATTTATAAGATTTGATTTTAGTTTTTTGAAAATATTTTTATTGGTTTTAGAGAAGAAGGGAGAGGGAGAGAAAGATAGAAACATCAATGATGAGAAAGAATCATTGGTCAGCTGCGTCTTGCAAGCCCCCTACTGGGGACCAAGCCTGAAACCCAGGCATGTGCCCTTGACTGGAATCGAACCTGGGACCTTTCAGTCCGCAGGCCGATGCTCTATCCACTGAGCCAGACAAGCAAGGGCTAAGATTTTATTTTTAAAAATAGTATCATATCCTTCCTTTTGAAGAAAATCTGGCCCTGGTTATCAATTTAACCATTTTGCCAACAGTGACTCCATTATAAGAATCTACCATTTAAAAAACTTATTTTATTTAGCTTGAATAATTGAATTGATTATGCATATAAAATAAATTTGATATATTTTAAACCAGAAAATGAGGTCAAAATCAATAATTTGTGCAAAGTAAATATAAGCCCAAGACATACCAAATAATTAAACTTGTGAAAAGTTTCCCCAAAATGTGTGCTAAGGTTTATTTGTTACTTGTTTGATATGATGAATATGTGTTTTATACAAAAATATGTGAATAAGAGTAAATTACTTTGACATTCTTATTATCTTTTGTTGTATAATTATAATCAAATTAATTATATATAAATTGGGAAGTAAGTGTAAAGAGGACACAGCTGTTTCCTGATTTGCCTGGATTGTTTAAGCATGCCTGATATGGAAAGTTTTTAACATTGAAATCCTACTAATCTTAAGATGAAGAGACAAAGAATTTAAATAGAGATTAAATACTATTTGTTCTATATCTTAGTCTTTATAAAAACTCAGATACAATATGAAAATTCAGTAGCTTGTGAATTAATTTATAATACTGTACTGCACATAGACCTTTTAAAAAAACTTCTTTTTGTTTATTAAACTTTTATAAATTATAGAAAAATATAGGTAAATTGATAAAAACCACCAAAATCCTCTCATGTTGTATATATATCTTTCTATCTTTTTATTCCTTACCATAGCCATAGCTTAGGGAAAATATTTTGACTCCAGGTTCTTTATATTATTACTAGAGGCTCAGTGCATGGATTTGTGTACCAGTGTGGTCCCTTGGCCTGGCCTGTGCCCTCTCACAATCCAGGACCCCTCAGGGGATGTCAGAGAATCAGTTTCTACCCAATCCCTGCAGGCCAGACTAAGGGGCCCCACCCATGCACGAATCCATGCACTGTGTCTCTAATATACATATAAGATCTTTGATTAAACTCCCCCTTCCCTCTGAGATTCATCAGTCTGTTCTGTTTCCATGTCTGTGGTTTCCACTCCAGCGTTGAGCATATGCCCCCTCATGGTCAGTGCACATCATAGCTACTGGCCAGTTGGCTGATTGCTTAGACTTTTTTTTTTTTTTTAACAGAGAGGAAGGGAGAGGGATAAACATCAATGAGAGAGAATCATCAATCAGCTGCCTCCTGCACACTTCCTACTGGGGCTGTGCCCGCAACCAAGGTACATGCCCTTGACCGGAATTGAACCTGGGACCCTTCAGGCAACAGGCTGATGCTCTGTCCACTGAGCCAAACCAGTTAGTGCTGCTTAGGCTTAATACGTTATCAAATATATAATGTAATCATTGATCAGAACTGAGGGGAAAATAGCAACACAAAAATAGTAGTAGATTTTGATACCTACTTTCAGTTATAGACATAACTACGGAGAAGGTCATTAAGGAAACAGAGGATTAAAAAAAAATGCATTATATATCATCCCTAGCTGGTTTGGCTCAGTAGATTAAAATGTCTGTGGACTGGAGAGTCCCAGGTTTGACTCTTGCACATACCTCGGTTGTAAGCTCGATCCCCAGCCCTGGTCTGGCCCTGCAGGAGGCAACCAATCCATGTGTCTCTCTTACGTGATGTTTCTCTCTTTGTCTCTCCCTCTCCCTTCCACTGTCTCTAAAAATCAGTGGAAAAATACCTTTGGCTAAGGATTAACAAACAAACACTATATGTCAATTGTACCTAAAAATCTTATACAGACTATTCTACTTAACAACAGCAGATAACATGTTTTTCTCAACTATATGTGGAACATTCTCCAAGATAGACCACATGTTCGCCACAAAACAACTTTTTTTAAAAAAATATATTTTTATTGATTTCAGAGAGGAAGGGAGAGAGAGAGAGAAACTTCAAGGATCAGAATCACTGATTGGCTGCCTCCTGCACCCCCCCTACTGGGGATCAAGCCCGCAACCCCAGGCATGTGCCCTTGACCAGAATCGAACCTGGAACCCTTCAGTCAACAGGCTGATGCTCTGTCCACTGAGCCAAACCAGCTAGGGCCCCATAACAACTCTTAAGCAATTTAAAAATAAAGTCATACAAAGTATCTTCTCTGAACACAGAGGAATGAAGCTAGAAATCAGTAGCAGAAAGTAAACAGGGAAATGCACAAATCACAAATACGTAGAAATTAAACAACACATTCTTTTCTTTCTTTTTTTTTTTTTTTTTTTTTTTGTATGTTTTTATTTATTTCAGGGAGAGGAAGATAGGAATATCAGTGATGAGAGTAGTGACTCCTGGTTCATGGATTGGTGCTCAACCACTGAGCCACACCAACTAGGCTAAACAACCAATGGGTTAAAGGAGAAATTCCACATGGGAATGTAGAAAATATTTGGAGAACATATTAAAACAAAACTCAATATACCAAAACTTATGGGATACAGCAAAAGCAGTAGGAGGAGGGGAGTTTATAGTACTAAATACGTACATTAAAAAAAGAAGAGAATTCTCGAATCAACAGTCTAACTTACCTTAAGAAACTAGGAAAATAGCCCTGCCTGTTTGGCTCTGTGGTTGAGCATTGACCTGTGAACCAGGAGGTCACAGTTCTATTCCCAGTCAAGACACATCTGGGTTGTGAGCTCAATCCCCAAAGGGAGTTATGTAAGAGGCAGCTAGCCGGTCAATGATCATTGACGTTTCATCTCTCTTTCCGTCTCCCTTCCCCTCTGAAGTCAATAAAAATATATATGTATTTTAAAGAAACTATAAAAATAAACTAAACTTAAAGTCAGCAGAAGGACGGGAATAACAGATTCAAGCAAAGATAAAGAGAATAGAAAAAAAATAGAAAAAAATTAATGAGACCAAAAGTGGTGGTTTTTTTTAAAGATTGGCAAAAACTAAACTAAGAAAAAAAGAGGAAGGACTCAAGTAGCTGAAATTAGAAACAGAAATAAAGATTATAGGAAACTACTTATGAACAATTGTATGCTAACAAATTGGATAACTTTCTACAAACATATAACCCACTAAGATTGAATCATGAAGAAATAAGAAATCTGAACAAAACTTCTAAATTAGGGATCAAAAACCTTCCAACAGAAAAGCTCAAGACCCTATGGCTTCACTGCAGAATCATACTAATCATTTAAAGAAGAATTAATAACAGTATTTTACCATTGTTCCAAAGAATTGAAGAGGAAGGAATATGAGGCCAATATTACCCTGATCCCCAAATCAGATAAAGATAAGCCAGGGGGGAAAAACTGCATACCAACATCCCTGATGAATATTGATACAAAAAACCCTAAAAAAATAATAGCAAACTGAATTCACCAGCACATCAAATGTGTTATACACCATGACCAAGTGGAATTTATGGCTAGAACATACAAAAATTAATGTCATATACTACACCAACAAAATGAAGGACAAAGCACACATGATCACCTCAATTGATATAGAAAAAAACATTTGGCAAAATTCAGCATTCTTTCCTGATCAACATGCTTAACAAACTAGACTAGATGGAAGCTTCCTGAATATAATAGACATATATGCAAAGCCCACAGTGAACATCATAGTCAATGTGGAAAGACTGAAATCTTTTTCTAGAGGATTAATGCAAGGATACACACTCTTCACCACTATCATTGATCATAGTATTGGAAGTCATAGGACAATAGACAGGGAAAGGACTAAGACATACAAATTGGAAAGGAAGAAGTAAAGTGATCTGTTCACAGATGACATGATTTTTTTATTACAGGAAACCCTAAATGTGCCAGAAAAACTGTTGGAATCTATAAACAAATTTAGAAAAGTTATAGGTTACAAATTCACAGTCAAAAATTTTGTTACATTTCTATATCATAACAATGACCAATCTGAAAAGGAAATTCAGAAAATAATCCCATTTACCATTGCATCAAAAAGATAATTTAGGAATAAACTTAATCAAGGAGATGAAAGACTTAGAAATTGAAAACTACAAAGCATTACTAAACAAATTCAAATAAAGTACAAATGAATGAAAAGACATCCCATATCATGGGTTTGAAAGACTTATTGTCTGGTCAAGGTGATCTACGGTTAGGGGATGTCGGAGAGCCCGTTTCAGCCTGATCCCGCAGGCCAGGACAAAGTACACCACTGGTGCAAAAATCGTGCACTGGGCCTCTAGTATTATTAGAAATTGTTAATCACATTTTGCTTCTTGAATCTATTAATTTAGTAGGCCAGCTTTTAATTTTTCTTTCCATATTCCTCAGCTCCTCCATTTTAGTTTCAACAATTTTTTTTTTAATATATTTTATTGACTTTTTACAGAGAGGAAGGGAGATAGAGAGCTAGAAACATCGATGAGAGAGAAACACCGACCAGCCGCCTCTTGCACACCCCCCACCGGGGATGTGCCCGCAACCAACATACATGCCCCTGACCGGAATCGAACCCGTGACCTTTCAGTCCGCAGACCGACGCTCTACCACTGAGCCAAACCGGTTTCGGCAGTTTCAACAATTTTTACCAGTTCATTTTAAACTGACACCTGCTTTCAAAATTCGGGTTATAGAAAAAACTATGTAAAGCATAATTATAATAATTTTATGGATTTTTATATGGCTAAAGAGATAATTCCTTTACAATTATTTTGAAATGGAAAGGCAGTATATTTTAAGTATGCTTTTATTCTAAAAAGTAAAACTTAGTAATGACAATTCATCTATATATCAAATTTATAAAATAATAAAAGATTTGTCCCCTTTGAAATATGTAAATATGATATCTGACAGTGTATTTCAATTGCCCTTGTGATATACACAGCCCAAAATAAATGAGTATCCTTTTGTGTGCTATGTAGCTAAAGGCAATGAAAATAATTGAAACTTTTTGTTCTTTGGGAATTTTCTTCATTCTGATTTATTAGAAATAGAGCTGGGAAAATATCTGAGAGCTTGCTTTGTGAGCTACTCGTCAGACCTGTAAATGCAAGTACAAGTGACTTGCCATTGATAGAAGAAAAATAAACTCCTTGGAAATTGCTTTATGAAATATTTATGATGAAGAAAAAGTTGTGAAATTATTCTTTTTGTAAGGAAAATACATATTTTATTGGCATTTTGGCTCCTTTTGTTATAAATTGGTTTAAACATACCTAGCTTGGGTATTTTCTCTTGCACCTTAATCAGTTACTAATATAGCATGATTTTCCTAAATAATAAAAGCTAATATGCAGATCAACCGAACGCAGAACAACCAGTTGCTATGATGATTACCAGAGGGCAGACGCTGTTGAAGCAGAAGCCGTGCTCACGGCTGGTGAGCGCAGCAGTGGTGGTGGGAGCTTCTCCTGCCTCCACAGCAGCACTAAGGAACTCGAGGGGTCTGTCCAGCTGCTGGCCTAGGCCCGCTCCTGTGCCAGCAGTCAGACATTGCCCAAGGGGTCTCAGACTGCAAAAGGGTGCAGGCCGGGCTTAGAGATACTGTCCTCCCCCCATCCCCAGTGCACAGGTGCTGTTTTCCAGGCCTCTAGTGCTATAATAATAATAGTGGCATTAGTAAACTCACTTGGGAGTTGTTTTCTCAGTGTTTATTTGCAAATGATGCATATATCCACCACATCCTCTAAAAGGAAAGGGGAAATTTGTAATTATAAAATGAAGATATTCAAAGCTCAGTTTCTATCTGATACCAGGTAAAAGAAACCAGTATCCATTTGTAGATAAGTGTGGAATTTAGTGATTGCTTTTAAAAATCAGGAACATGAGGAGGATTAGCAAACTTTGTGATTCTTTAAAGCTAGGCATTTGTGTGACAGCTAATAAATAACAAGACATTTGAAAGGGAACTTTTCCTTTGCTGTACCTGTTTATAAATGTTCTTCCTGTGCTGTTCATATAGCAGTGTTCTTTAACTATGTAGGTAAATTTGTCAGTGTGGCTGCTCAACTCCAGACTCCTACTCGGGACTGGTTAGGAAGTGGTGCATACAACCTGAGCACACTGCATGAATAGTGACTCCTAAGACTCCTCCCTCCGCATAGCTGAAGCCTTATCACTACACCAGACCGCCTTCCTGCTATATAGCTGGCACATTTCCAAGTGCCAAGGACAAGGAAATTAAGCCAATATACTTTATTAGGAGGGGACACGCACATAAATGAATAGTTTGATCATGATCATATATGCATGGTAGAGTTGGAAGCATAGAGAAAGCTGTCCATTTTCTCTGTGTCCCTTCTGTTCATACTTCTCATACTGTAAACTGGCATTACTTCCTTCTCATAAGTTTATAGCACATCTGTGTCCTTTTTTTATTCTTCATCACTGCATCCTGTTGAAGTCAAGAGGAAACAGTGTTACTTAGAGATAGAAAAAGAAGCCCAGAAAGGGTAAGGGCCTTTCCAGAGGCACAGTGAATAATGGTTAACAATAACTTAGGGCCCCAAGTGACAGTAAATTTCCTTAGTAGACTAGGAAATTGCATATTTCCCTGAAATTATTCTAAGCCAAGAATCTTTTCCTCCTTTTTTCCCCCTCATGTAATTGATGATCTTTTTCAAGTTTTTATATTTTCTAAGCTTGCAAATGCGTAGAAAATCTTTTTCTGGTATCCAGCATAATGTGGTTATTGAAAATAGATAACTTCTATACTGAAGGCATACCTCAGAGATTCTGCGTGTTCAGCTCTAAACCATCACAGTATAGTGAGTTGTAGTCTATTTCCAGTGGAGGGTCTTGTCTTCAATTCGTGAAAAAACAGACATCTGTGAAACACTATAAAGCAAGGTGCACTAAAACAAGGTATGCCTAGATATGGCCAGTGTAGCCTCTGTGGATCCCACAGTGGAAATCAGCTGCGCACTGTACAAGGTGTTCTTCAGGGAAAGGGCATGTGATATGGCAGCTCCCTGTGGGAAGATCAATGGATGGCTTCTCTGCCTTGGGCCAAAGCTAACAGCTCAGGGACCAGATGAAGCAGATTTTATTGTGCATAGGACAGACTCAGCCTGTGTCAGCTTAAGCAACATTTGCAGGGCAGGAAGATAAAAATCTCATAACGTGCTGGAGGTGCTAGAAATCCTGGAGTGTTTGCTAAATTGCTTGTGATGATGCCCTGTGAGGGCGGGCACACAGAAAGTGCACACACTTGCCTGCCTTCTCAGAGCTGTCATTCAGTAGTTAAGTCAAACATTGTGGGGAATGCATGTCATTCATTTCATTTTGACCTGGGTACTACTCTCATTCAGGTATCAGGTTGACAGTAATGTCATTATACCTGTATACTGTACTGCAATATTTACCAAGACATTCTTTTTTCCTTTCCCAAATTGCTAGTAAAAATGGTTCTAATTGTTTTGAATCAGGGATTATTTTAAGAATTTAGTGGAAGCACTCTTCTGGAAAAATGCACATACTTTAAAATTTTTACATATTCATTTTATGTATTGATTTATTGATCGAGAGGGAGAGAGAGGAACATAAATGATGAGACTCATCAGTGGGCTGCCTCCTGCAGGCCCCCCACTCAGGATTGAGGCCGCAACCTTGGGATTTGAACTATGCCTCCTGGTTCATAGGTCGACACTCAACCACTGAGCCATGCATACCTGGCCAAATTTTTACATATTTCAAGGAGTTCATGTCCCTTCCTCCCCGAAAAAACCTATCTGTGAGCTGTAGAGTGAGGGTAAATAACCCTTGCTGTAAACTTTACATAGCCACTATGTTTAATATCTAAATAAGTTCTATAATTTTTTAATAGTTGTTTTATAGAAAATATGTTTAATGTTCTTCCATATTGATGAAAAGTAAACAATGCTTTAAATCAGAATACATATATACATTGTGTATCAGGAAATATTTATCAAAACTTAAGTTTTGAATAACAGTTGTCTAATATTTACTTTTGTTTCCCTTTTTTAAAGCTTGGTAAAATGCGGCTGACAATTCCATGTCGGGCCCTTACCTGTTCTCATCTGCAGTGTTTTGATGCAACTCTTTATATTCAAATGAATGAGAAAAAGCCAACCTGGGTTTGTCCTGTCTGTGATAAAAAGGCTCCGTATGAGCACCTTATTATTGATGGGTATGTCACTTTAAAGTTTTTCCTTGTATTGGAGTTATCTGGGTTTGTTATATATCAGGTCAGATTTTCTGAATTACCTATTTTTAGGATTTTCATGATTCTACAAATAGTATTTTTCAAACTACATACTATTAACATTTTCTCTTTTTAACTTGATGTCCTCTTATTTGGAAAATGCATGCTTTACTGTCAATGCCTCCTGACTTTACCATTTAAGCATCAATTGTTCCAAGCAGGTTTCCTTCCTTCCTTTCCTTTCCTTCCTTCCTTCCTTCCTTCCTTCCTTCCTCCCGCCCACCCACCCACCCACCAGGTTGGTTGAGAGGTGACAGTCCTATCACAGAGACTTGGGTTTGGGTCCTAGAAGCCCAGGCCGACCTGGCCGATGGCCATCCCCATGAGGCAGGGTCTCCAGTGAGAAGGGTCCTACTCTGGGTCAGGATGGCTCAGGGCAGTGACCTCACACCTTCAGGGGTGTGGACGGACGGAGGGTCACGGCTGAGCCAACAGGGAGCCAGCAGGAATGCCGAGTCCTGAGAGGGGCTGAGGGGCACAGGGGGGAGGGGGGCGTCGGTACTGAGGGATCGGAGGGAGGGTCCAGGCCAGGAGGGTGGGCATAGGCCCAGGCACTCCCTGGGATCCAGCCCCAAAGGACTTAACACCTTTTTCTAACGTGAATCCATGTATCCCTAGTCATGCAGACCATATTAGAAGAAAAAGAAAAAAAAAGAAAAGAAAAAAAAGAAAGAAAGAATTGTGAAGCTCTGGTTAACTTCTAAAAATTGGGCTTTTTAGAAGTTAGCCTGTTTTTGGAGATTTTCTTATGCCTATTCCCTGCTCTAAGGGCTCCTAAAATTGATCAACATACTGAATGAGTAGCAGCTTTGTTTTGTTTTGTGTTGTTTTTTTTCTCTGAAATATGTGTGTTTATCTTTCTTGTCCACCTATAGCCTCATGACAATCTATATTTTTAGCACTCATGTTTTATCTACCCTACCAAACATCTTGGAATGTTCCTCTAAATTTTCCCCTATTCTCTAGCTTCCTCCACCCCCCCTTTTTGCCATTGAAAAAAAAAAAAACTTTAAAAAGGATCTTCTTGATATTTCCATACTCTCTAACAAAACACTCAAGGCAACTTATCTGTAGTATTTGAGATGTAACATGAGGAATAGAATACATTTAGCAATACAAAGGTATCCCAGAGCTTGATAGATGTTAGACTAATCAGTAGGGGGGAAAGTAAACATGCAATTTAATGTTTTATGTTTAATTTTAGATAGATAGCAATGATCATTAATAAATCTCAATTGAATAATATTTTACTAATTGTTTTAGATCCCCCCATCAATTGAGATTTCTTTGTTGTTCTAAAAGTCATGTATGCATACATATATATATACACATCTATAAACTTAATGAAGAATTGAAAAACATAGGAAAATTAAAAAGCTTTTGTGGTGTGTTATTTTCACAATTGTGATTGCACAGTATTAATTTTTTTTATTTTATTTCATTTAACATTATAACCTAAGAATTTGACCATTAGTTTTACACATTTTTTGCAAGTTTCAATTAATATCTCCATGATATTTATCAGGAGGCTTAACATTCAATACATGTCTTGTATTTATTGCTTCAGTTTATCAAATAAGATATGCTTATTAGAGGCAATTTGGGCTATGTAAAAAAAGTTATGAAGAAAAATAAGTGTAACATTCAGAGATAAGTGCTATTTCTGTACCATGTACACACAGAAATTTATTTAAGTATAAGGATTTCTTTTCTTGGCCTTTTTCTACTTTCTGTGACCATTTTCCCATGTTAACAAATGTTTAGAAGACTCATAATGTTTTCTTGCATAAAAGTACCATAATATAAATAACTATTGTACTTTCTATTTAGCTCTAGATTTTGAGAACAAGTATAACTTAATCTGGTCCACTTTCTTCTTTCTCAATTATACTTGTATAAAACATGAAGGATCTGAATGTTTTTTTAACAGTAATAATTCTAAACTATCTTCATTTAAAATGTGATATTGAAAAGACAAATTGTGTTTTATAGCTTGTTTATGGAAATCCTAAAGTACTGTACAGATTGTGATGAAATACAGTTTAAGGAAGATGGCTCTTGGGCACCTATGAGGTCAAAAAAGGAAGTACAAGAAGTTTCTTCCTCTTACAATGGAGTTGATGGTAAGTTTTTTTTTGGTTTTTTTTTTAAGGGTAGGCAATCTTCCTGCTCTTAAAATGCTCAAATTTTATTTAAAAAAACAACAACACTCAGTTCAATAACTCTTATTAAATTATTAATTACATGTTCAGAAGTCGTAAAGCTTCTTTAAACTCACTTTTGCCAGCTTTTAAAATGTTGTGGTATAAGATTTCAAAGTAATATAGTAAGTTTTTATAAAATCATGATTTTGAAATGCTATCCTTTTAAGTTTTTAGCAGATTGGTACAGATTCATGAACATTCTTTTACTTACTTTTTTTCTTTTCCTGGCTTTTAATACGGTTTTACTACAGAGGAGCTATATGACTTTTAAAAAAATGTTACCACTGCATTACTTAAGTTTATCAGATACTATACAGATAAACACATAATTCATAGGCTTTGCACTCAAACTGCTTTTATTCAGAAATGGACATACATTTTTATTGTCTTGATTGAGAATTATTTTTCAAAAAAAAATTTTTTAGCTAATACTAAATAGTAGTTTTAAACTTAGGCAAACAGAACCACTGTTGGTTTTCTACTGTCTGACTTCAGCAATATTGTAAGTCTAAACTATAATTGGCAAATTAACTCATGAACACTGAGAAAAAAAGAGGTGTCATAAATCTTTTTGTCTTGTGTTTTAATCATTCCCACACAGGATGCTTGAGCTCCACACTGGAGCATCAGGTGACTTCTCACCACCAGTCCTCAAATAAAAATAAGAAAGTAGAGGTGATTGACCTAACCATAGACAGTTCTTCTGATGAAGAGGAGGAAGAGCCACCTGCCAAGAGGGCCTGTCCTTCCTTGTCTCCCACATCACCACTAAATAATAAAGGGTAAGTGCTAAGACCTTAAAAAGAGAGTCATCAGGGAAGATAATTTTGCAAATAGGATCTTCCAAATAAAATAATTATGCATGATTATAAGATTTAACTTAGCAATTAAATAATAAGTTGACTTTTTTTCCCTAGTATGAGATATTCTTGAGGGGTTTAAATAATGCATTAAATTAGATATATAGAGCCAAAACCGGTCTTGCTCAGTGGATAGAGCATTGGCCTGTGGACTGAAGGGTCTCAGGTTCAATTCTGGTCAAGGGCATGTACCGGTTGCAGGCACATCCCCAATGAAATGTGTGCAAGAGACAGCTGATCAATGTTTCTCCCTCATCTGGTGTTTCTAACTCTCTATCTGTTTCCCTTACTCTATAAAAGGTCAATAAAAGTGTGTGTGTGTGCGCGTATATTTTTTAATTTTTTTTTTAAGAATTAAAAATAAAATGGTGGTATTTAAAAAAATTAAATATAGAATTCATCAAACCAAAATATGGTTTTAGTACAGTGGTTCTCAAGTTTTGGTAGACATCAGAATCACTCGGGGATTATTGTAACATAAATTGCTTCCTTACCCATCATAAGGACTGAAAATTTTTATATTCCTAAATAATTTCCCAAGTGGTCCAGTGCTCATAGGATTTAGAACATGTACTCAATTTGGAAAGTATATGTCATAAAATTAACCCTAAGTAGAATGTTCAAGGTAGAAAGCAGAGGAAGACGAGATAAATCCTTTAACTTGCCTCAGTGTGTAAGACTGGCAGTGAAAAAAGTCTAAGACTTAAGTTGCAATACACTTAATGCTTTTAAAAAATATATATATTTGTAAAAGAAGGAATTCTTACCATTTTGTAACAGCATGGATGGAACTGGACAGCATTATGCTAAGCAAAATAAGCCAGTCAGAGAAAGATAAATATCACATGATCTCACTCATTTATGGAAATAATGAACAACATAAACTGATGAACAAAAACAGATCCACAGACAGAGAAGCAGTGATTAGACCGTCAAACCTGAGAGGGAAGGTGGGGGAGGGGAGGGGTAAAGGGGAGAGATCTTGTATGCATGCATGTACCTTGTTTGCAGGCATATAAGCCTAACTACTGGATACAGACACCAGGGGCTTGAGGGCATTAGGTTGGGGGTGGGGAAGCAATGGAAGGATAAGGACACATATGTAATAATAAAGAAAAGAAAAAGAAAAATATATTTGTTTTGGTTTCAGAGAGGAAGGGAGAGGGAGACAGAGATAGAAATATCAATAATACAAGAGAATTATTGATTGGCTGGCTGCCTCTTGTATGCCCCACATGATATAGAGCCCACAACCCTGGGTTGTGCCCTGACCAGCAATTGAATCATGACCTTTTGGTTCATAGGTTGACACTCAACCACTGAGCCAAACCAGGCAGGCTAATGCTTTCTATATTGCAGATTCGTTTCCCATTAAGTCTCATCCTACCTAATAAAGGAGTAATATGCAAATCAACCATTATTCTGCTATACCCACCAGCCAATCAGAGCAAGTATGCAAATAAACCCAACCAAGATGGCTACAGCCACAGAGAGCAGGAGGGAGGCTTGGGTTTCCCAGGCAACAGAGGAAGCCTAGCTTTCCACCTGCCCTTGCCGGCCTAGGTCTCCACTCAGAGCTATAAAGTTTCAATTATAGAAGGTAAATAAATCCAAACAGATATGGCTGCTGGCCAAGCAGCCAGCAGGAGGCTTGGCTCCGCTCCAGGCTACAAAGTTTCAATTGTAGAAGGTAAATAAATTCCAGATACCAGGGCTGCTTCTTGGGTCACCAGGGGCCGTGGCTGGCCTGCAAACCACCACAGGCCCCTCGCTCAGACAGCCCCATGTTCCAAGGGAACCCCCACCCTGATCTGGGACACCCTTCAGGGCAAACCAGCTGGCCCCCACCCATGCACCAGGCCTCTATCCTATCTGATAGAGTAATATGCAGATTGACCATCACTCCAACACACAATAGCTGCCCCTATGTGAACACAAGATGGCCAGCAGGGAAGGGCAGTTGGAAGGCACCAGGCCTGCAAGGAAGGGCAGTTGGAGGCGATCAACCCTGCAGGGGAGGGCAGTTAGGTGTGTCCAGGCCAGCAGAGGAGGAAAGTTGGAGGCAAACAGACTGGTAGGGGAGCAGCTAGACATCAATCAGGCTGGCATGGGAGTGGTTAGGGGGTGATCAGGCTGGCAGGCAGAGGTGGTTAGGGACAATCAGGAAGGCAGGCAGGCGAGCAGTTGGGAGCCAGCAGTCCTGGGTTGTGAGAGGGATGTCCGACTGCCTGTTTAGGGGATCGGGCCTAAAAAGGGAGTCAGACATCCCTCGAGGGGTCCCAGATTGGAGAGGGTGCAGGCTGGGGTGAGGGACACCCCCCACAACCCATGCAGGAATTTCATGCACCGGGCCTTTCGTTCTATATAAGATATTCCATGCTAAATAAACATGGGTGAAAATAAAATGGTATATACTGTCTTAACCTTGAAGGGTTCAACACATCGTAGAAGATGATAAAACAAGCTAACTCTAGTTGTACTCTTAAACAGACTGTTAGTCTCCTAGACACAGTGGGGATTCTTAGCAAAAAGACTCTGCTTTGCTGTGAAGCACAATAATAGCCCACTAAAGATTAGAAATAAGCCCTTGTAGGGAGTCCTTCTAGGGCAAGGCGGCTGGGTCCATGGCGGCCACAGCCACGGGCAGGATGCAGGAGCTGTTACGGGTGCCCCTCACTTGGGGAGGGGGCCCGGACCCATGTGTGGTGGGGACAGCTGCCTGGCCCTCCCTACTCTGCCTTCCCCAAAGTCGTGGTATCCCCCAGAGCTGGACAGTCTTATGATCCAGTGGATTTTCCTGGGGAGGCCAGGTCAGGGAGCGGGTGCCTACCAGCTGGGGCAGCAGGCAGGTGCAGAGACTGGGATTCAGGTAGGGATCTAGGCAGTGACAGAGGCAGCGGCTGTGCCCTGGGCTTGCCACCCCCTTCCCTTGGGCTTGGGGAGTGGCTGCATGGGACCGAGGGGATGGCCCAGCTGTTCGGAGCAGCAGCGCTGGACACCCCCCATGGGCTGGGGCTGAGCCGGGGACCGGGACGGGGGCTACAGGGGCTCCATGCCTGGAGGTCAGTCACCGCAGCATGGCTCACAGGTCCGGCATGCTGATGTTCAAGTGTGGTAGTGGGCGATGGGGCAGTGGGCAAGACATGCCTGCTCATGAGCTATGCGAACAATGTCTTCCCCGGGGGAGTATGTGCCCACTGTCTTTGACCTCTACGCAGTCAGCGTCACCATAGGGGGCAAGCAATGCCTCTTGGGACATGGCCGGACAGGAAGGCTATGATCATCTGAGGCCTTTATCTTATCCATTTACTGATGTCTTCCTTATATGCTTCTCTGTGGTGAGTCCAGCCTCATTACAAAATGTAAAAAAGGAATGGGTACCAGAACTTAGAATACGCACCAAATGTACCCTTCTTATTAATAGGAACTCAGATTGACCTCCGCGATGACCCCAAAACTTTAGCAAGACTGAATGATATCAAAGAAAAGCCTGTATGTGTGGAACAAGAACAGAAATTGGCAAAAGAGATAGGAGTGTGCTGCTATTGTGGAATGTTCAGCTTTAATCCAGAAGGGATTGAAGACTGTTTTTGATGAGGCTATCATAGCCATTTTAACTCCAAAGAAACACACAATAAAATAAAAGACTAGGATCAATATGTATAAACTTGTTTGATTACTTGAGAAACATCTTCAGTTGCCAGTGAAATTATCCATTTCTAAGAAAGCATATGAAATGCTACAGCTATACCCAGACCTCTTATAAATACTGAAGCAGTTTAAAACTTGAATGAAAAACAACCATGTCCTCAGAATTCTATAAAATTCATTAAGAATGTTTCTTAAAGTTCCAAGAAGCAGCAAACAGCATCTGAAGCTACAATTCTATCTAATTTAAAAAAAAGGGGGGGGGGGATATGCAAATTGACCATCACTCCAACACACAAGATGGCCTGCAGGGGAGGGCAGTTGGGGGAGTCCAGGCTAGCAGGGGAGGGTAGTTGGGGAGATCCCAGGCCAGGAGAAGAGGGCAGTTAGGTGTGACCAGGCCAGCAGGGGGGCAGGGGCAGATGGGGAGTGGCAGGCCTGTAGGGGAGGCAATCGGCCATCTGGGGAGCAGTTAGGCATCAATCATTCTGGCAGTGGAGTGGTTAGGGGTGATCAGCTGGCAGGCAGAAATGGTTAGGGGCAATCAGGCAGGCAGGCTGGCAAGCATTTGGGAGGCAGCAGTTTTGGATTGTGAGAGGGATATACAACTGCCCATTTAGGCCCTATGTGATTGAGCCTAAAGGGGCAGCCGGACATCCCTCAACGGTTCCCAGATTGGAGAGGGTGCAAGCTGGGCTGAGGTACACCCCTCATGCACAGATTTCATGCACCGGGCCTCTAGTCTATTATAAATACTTTATTTTAACTAGAAGGTACAATCTCTCACGGTTTTCATAGTTTAAAAAACTACAGTCACATCATGTAACTACATTAAAAAACAAAACAAAAAACAGTGCTATAAATGGGACTGCCTGGCTTAGACCATATACATCTCTGCACAGCCTTTGTGGAATCTGCAAACACACAAAATCTTCCTTTGTTCCAATTAATTGCTTGTATGTAAGTTGCTTTCTATTCCAGTATATCCAGAGTGGTGAAATAAGGAGGCCAGCCACATAGCCACAGGTCACTCCAAGCATGCAGGAGATGGGCCACACCTGAGGAGAGAGTGTGTGAGATCAAAAGAGAACAAATGTTTTTATTACTTGAGCACAAGTTAAGTGTAACCTAGATATTTCCATATTAAAGCTTTATGTGCTTTCTTAAAGAATGCCAAAAGTGCAATAAGATCATAACTGCATTTATCAGGAACACTAAAAACTGTACATGTTTTAATGTACATTAACAAGGCTTTTGGTCACTGTAGATTTAGT